GTCTATGTGTTGGTGGGGGGGGGTGGTACGAGAGGAAGCTGCTTTGGGGCCAAGAGAGGAGGGCAAGGAAATGTGAAGTCGTGGCGTGCTGGAGGGGTTGATGCTCGAAGGGGTGCGTCTTCAACTACAGTTGGGGCGGTGCGGCGATGCTGCGGGCTAGCTTGGGATCTGAGACGGTGTGCCAAAAAAGTGCACACCATCTCAGCCAGCTCTCAGGCGCCATGCCCCCAGCAGCGCCCAGCGGCCGCCACTTGCCTGATCCCCCACCCGCCCTCGCCCCCGCGACTCCCGCAGGTGCACCTGCTGGCGGAGTGCAAGCGGCGCGGCATCCCGGTGCTGTGCTCTGCGGGCGCGGGCGCCAAGGCGGACCCCACCCGGCTGCGCATCGTCGACATCAGCGAGTCGGTTGTAGACCCCCTGGCGCGCGCCGTGCGCCACAAGTGAGTGCTTAACCGCCCTGGGGTCCGTCTGCCTCGAGCATTCGTCACAGAAGCTGCAGATAAGCAAATCTTCTGTGTATCGTGAGCGGCCGGGCCGCTGTTGCGTACAGCGAGTGAAGAATGGCTGGGCAGAAGGTGGGAGGGCTCGTGACGGTGCGGGAACCCGCCGCGGCTGCAACTCGCAGGCTGGGGCGGCGGCGGGGCGTGCGCGGCGGCATCCCGGTGCTGCTGTCGACGGAGCGGCCGCGCTGCGAGCTGGTGGCCACGGAGCAGATGCAGGCCGGCAACCCGTTGGACTTCCAGGTGCCATGAGGGGGCGGTGGGGCGGGGCATGAGGGGTTGGGCGTAGGTTCATGTAGCGCCGGCAGTCTGGCCGAGTTCTCGGCCCTCGCGCCAGTCCCGCGGGAAGCCCGTCTGCGCACGGGCGGCCAAGATTTCAGCTGGCTTGGCTGGCTTTGGGAGCGCCGCCGCGTGCCTTGAGGCCGCCGCGCCTGCAACAGGTTTTGCCTGTCAGGCGGCGCCCCAGGTTGCACTCAGCCGCTTGGATCGCGTCGTCCTGCTCACTTATCAGTGACAATATGATGTGGGCAGATTAATACGTCCGCGTCAATGTCACGCGTCGTGCCAGGCATAGCAATCACATCCAGACACTTGACCCCCACTGCCCCCTCGTTTCCTCCACCCCAGATCGTCCCCAACTTCCGAGTGCGCACGATCCCCGTCCTGGGCCCCACCCCCGCGCTTTTCGGCATGGCGGCCGCCGGCTTCATCCTCTGCCAGCTGGCGGGCGCCCCCTTCGACGGGGAGCCCCTGCTGACGCTGACGGCGCTGCAGTACGACAGGGCCATGGAGCGGCTGGTGGCGCGGGAGGAGGAGGCGTACGGCACGGCGGATGGCGTGCGGATTGACCGGGACGACGTGAGCCGCAGGCCTCGCTCGAGGGCGGCGTTTGATGCCAATGTTCTCCCAGGGCGAGGGCCGAGTTGGCCTTCCGCTATTTTTGCACCAGCCGGAGAGGCTGCGACGGCTTGTGCATCCAGCTTGCATCATTGGGGCTGGGTAATACGAAGACCAGAAGGGTTTGGACGCTAGTGGCTTGCAGAGGGCCTGAATACACGTGCGCATCCCCGCGCGTCGGCACCCTCACTACGCACAAGCCTTGCGCCGTCCCCTGCTGCCTCGGCCCGACCTGCAACGCTGCTACCTGCTCCTCTTGAAACGTCAACCAAAGCCTTTGGCCCGCACGACCCACCCATCAGATCATCTACCTCCTGCGCGAGCTGTGGCGCGGCTTCAGCGCGCGCTCCGACCGCGTGGTCGTGCCCGGCGGCCAGCACGGCCTCACGCGCTCGACTGCAGACCTCACCCTCGTGCGCTGGGACGAGGCCCAGCCGGCCACGGTGGACAACCTCGTGCTGCTCACGCTTTCCGAGGCGGACGCGCACAGGGAGAAGGGCGTGGCGAGGGTGCGGGCGGAGGAGCCCGAGTTTGCGGCGTTTGTCGAGGCGCACCTGGCGCGCGTGCGGTTCGACTACTGCGGCGAGCGGGGCCAGCAGCAGCAGCAGCAGCAGCAGCTGAAGAGCCAACGGTAACAATATCTCATTGCAACCCTATCTACACGTGTGTGTGTTGGAGTGTGTCAGACCTCGGGGTCACCCGATGCAGCTGTCTGTTGAAATCTGGTGCCATTGTGATTGAGTGATTAGGCACGAGCACACACTGGACTTCTTGCCAGCGCAACCAGGCATCCATACAGGGCGCATCTCCGCACGCGGTGTGCATTCAGCAACCTCTGCAATGGTGAACAAGCATAGCTTTGTTGTGTTTATGCAGCTGTCCACCCACGCACATATTCTTAATCAACCAGAGGGAGGTCATTTAACTAACCAGAGGGAGGTTGTCAGCTCCAAGAAGGGTGGGGGAGTCTGCCAGGTAGCATTCTGTATCATCCCCTCCATCAGCACAGGGTTGCTCAGCACGGTAGCCAGCAAAAGCCCAAGAGAGTTGCATGCATTGCCTACGCTAATGTTGCTGATCGCCATGATCAAGAGGAGCAGTTGAGGCCGGGCTGCTTTTGTTAGTGGCTGTGTTGCGCTGTTAGCACGGCTTGCAGCTGCACGCGGCACGGCTTCCGTTGTGGGGCTCCCACGCAGGAGCGGGCGGAGGTCTATGAGGCGGCAGCGGCATGCAATACGGTGGAGGCGTTGCATGCGCAGGAGTGTGGCACCCAGGGGAGGCAGCTGGCAGCCTGGTGCTGAAGTGCATACAAGTCAGTGCCAGGGACCATTATTCAGTCCTTCGGTGCGGCAACACTGATCAGGAAGCGGAGGCTTGTTGGTTGCGCATTACAGCGTTAAGGCGGTCTTGCACCCGACCTTTGGACAATGTTGGTAGTAGTGTGACACAGTGTGACATAGTCGGGGCACCTGCAAAGCAAGCACAGAATCTACAAGGGCGATGCATGAAGAGTGCACAAGGGGGGCTCGTTCAAGTACACATGCATGGGTCTCTGGCCCCCTAGGCATGTTGTCGGCCAAGGAGCATGCATCCCAGCAAAAATTTAAAGTCTTGCAAGCCGCGCAGCGTTGCGACGGTTTGACGTTTGAGCTCTCCTGCTCCTGACCAAGGAAGCCTCCATCCTGCGGTTGAAATACATGGCTTTTAGCCAGCCCTCCTTGCAGCGTCTCCCGCCGCCGGCCGGATCGTTTTGAGGGCCGCCTCGAAATCCCCAGCCACCAGCTTCCGGACCGACGCCAGCTCAGCATTCCCCCTGCCCACGCCGCCGCCGCCGCCGCCGCCGCCGCCGCCCCCGCTCCCGGCCCCTCCCGGCCCCTCCGCGCCGCCGTTGCCGTCGTCCGCCGCCGCCAGCCGCCGCCGCCGCTTGCGCTCCCCGCCGCGCGCGGCGGCCAGGAGCTCCCGCACCGGCGCCATGGCGGCGTGGCGGCAGAGGCAGGCCATGTCCGACCCGCTGAACCCCTCTGTGGCGGCCGCCAGGGATTCAATTTCTGGCCGCGACAGCTGGGAGTTGATCTCGGGGCGCGACAGCATGCCGGTCAAGAAGACCGCGCGCGCCGCGGCGTCCGGGTTTGGGACCTCGATGCGCCTGTGTAGCGGCAGAGGGACGGTTGAACGGTTGTGGGTGGAGAGGCCGGGGGGGGGGCAGCTGGGCGGGTGCGAGCGCGACACCCTCTTGCGCTGAGGCACGCAGGCTGTGTGCGTCCCTCATGCGCAGGGCCTCTCAAGATCAGTGGACCACCACATGCCGCGCCTGCCTCCCGCCTGCTCCCCCTCACTACTAGTGCGCCGCCGCAGTACGTAGGGTGCTGCACAGCTATCAGGGTGCTGCACAACTAGTCGTTTGGGGAAGCAGGCGGGAGGCAGGCGCGCCCCCCACCTGTCAAAACGCCTGAGGAGGGCGGCGTCGCAGTCCGCGATTCGGTTGGTCGCGCCGAACACGTACACGCCCTCGTCGGCCCCCAGCCCGTTCATCTGCAGCAGCAGCTCAGTCAGCAGGCAGCGGGACGCTCTGTCGTCGCCCGACGTCGCCCGGGTGCGGCCTAGGGCGTCCACCTGTGGCGTGAAAGGACGGGCGTTGCAATGCATTGCATTGCATTGCACCGGCTTGCGTCGGATTGCATTGCATCCTGTTGTGTTGTGTCGCAGACGAGACCCAGCTATTTTTGCGAATCATAGAGTGCAAGGAGCTGGCAGGGGAGTATGTACCAGGCAAGGTCGCGGCCGGGGGAGACCTGGAGACACCGCCATCACCCAGACAATGCACACCGCAGCAGGCCACCGTCACTGACGGCCTGTGTCAAGGCAAGCACGTTGACGCCTATTTCCCAGGTGCTGAACAAATAAGGTCAGTGTTGAGATATGCCAAAACCAAGCCGACGGGGTGCAAGGAGAACATGTTGACAACAGACAAGCACTCAGCAGAGGCTTATGCAGCCCCCAAACGCACCTCATCCAGGAAGACCACCGCGGGGGCCATGGCGCGCGCCACGTCAAACGCCAGCTTGACGGCCTTCTCGCTCTCGCCGCTCCTACAAAGGATTGGGATTGGGATGAGGAGTGTGGCTGCAGCGTCACGCGTCCGCCCGCTTGCGGAAGCATGCCTGCAGCGGGGACACGGGGTGTTGATGACCGCCCTGTCGCGGCCGTTTTGCGACGGGCCCGCCGCGCAGCTCGCGGCTGGGCTGCAAGGCGCAGGGTGCGCCTGCCTCCATGCGGTGGTTGGCAAGGCTCTCAACGCGGCGTGATGCCCACCACGATACCAGCGCCTGACTGACAATCAATCCTGGCTGGGCAGCGACCGCTGCGCATGCTGCTGTGACGTCCCAATGGCCACGCACCACTTGGACAGGATGGTGGAGGGGCTGAGGGCCAGCAGGGTGAAGCCGGCCTCTGCCGCCATCTTCTCCACCAGCAGCGTCTGAC